AGGCGTGGACTCGCCGACGGCGCTCCTAGAGGAGGCGTGCATGGCAGTGGCGCCCCTGGAGGAGGCGCGCACGGCAACGGTGGCGGACGGGTCGATGGAGAGCATGACCTTCACAGGCAGCGTGGCTCTCTCTCTCTCTCCCTAGATCGGTACCGTGGTTACCACAGGGTCTAGGCTGTTGTCAGGGACGTCGGCCCCGGCGGTGGGTGGCCTACCCTCACTAAGACCAACTACGTCGAGTGGGCTACAGTGATGAGGGTAAAGCTCCAGGTGCGGCACATGTGAGAGGCAGTCCGGTACGGTGACGTCGACTACGACCAGGATCGATGGGCGCTGGATGCCCTCATCGCTGCAGTCCCATCCAAGATGCAGTTCTCGCTTACCAACAAGCGGACTACCAAGGAGGCTTGGGACGCCATCGCTGCGGCACGCAGCGGCAGCGCCCACGCCTGCAAGTCCACACTACAGGCACTTCGCAAGGAGTGGGAGAACCTGACCTTCAAGCCAGGTGAGGACGTTGATGACTTTGCTCTCCGTCTCAACACTCTATTATAGAAGATGGTGCAGTTCGGTGATGACACCTACGGTGAGGAGAGAGTTGTCGAAAAACTCTTCCGTTGCGTCCCCGAGAAGTACAAGCAGATGGCTCGCTCGATCGAGTCTCTGCTGGATCTCTCCACGATGTCGATCGAGGAGGCGATAGGTCACCTCAAGGTCATCGATAGTGATGAGCCACAGCCTCTCTCGGGGCCCATCACCACTGGCGGGAAGCTCCTTCTCACTCGGGAGTAGTGGCTTGCCAGCCAAGGTGATCGGAAGAAGGGGGAGCCTTCTTCCACGACGATAGGCGGCCGCAAGCGTGGCAAGCCACGCAAGGCGCGTAGAGACGCCCAGGCCGGGGCGCGAGGACTGGCCGAGGGTGATGCCCATGGTGGCACCCAGGGCGGCACCGCCGGTAGGCACAAGCCGGCATGAGATGACACCTGCCGCAACTGTGGCCAGCTTGGCCATTGGGCCAAGGATTGTCGACAGCCACGACGTGGCTAGGCCCACGTCGCATAGGTGGAGGAGGAGGAGCCGGCTTTGTTCATGGCACATGCAAGCATTGAGCTACCTCCAGTGGCACCGGCCGCAACGGCTCTCCTCCACCTTGATGAGCCAAAAGCACACGCCCTCCTCGGCAACAGCTCCGGCAACGACAAGACTGACGGGTGGTGCCTCGACACCGGCGCCACCCATCACATGACCGGTTGACTGGAGTTCTTCACCGAGCTTGACTCTAGCGTCCGAGGCTCCATCAAGTTTGGGGATGCCTCTGGTGTGGAGATCAAGGGCGTCGGCTCCGTCATCTTCATCGCCGTGTCTAGTGAGCACAGGCTGCTCACCGGAGTCTACTACATCCCCGTGTTGAGGAACTCTATCATCAGCTTGGGACAGCTGGATGAGAACGGTTCGCGCATGGTGGTTGAGGATGGAGTCATGAGGATTTGGGATCACCGGCGTCGCCTTCTTGCCAAGGTAACTAGAAGCACAAATCGACTCTATGTCCTCAACGTGCAGGTGGCACAACCCCTCTGTCTCGCTGCTTGTCGGGACGACGAGGCGTGGTAGTGGCATGAGCATTTTGGGCACCTTCACTTTGAGGCCCTGAAGCGGCTCAGTGCTACGGAGATGGTGCGAGGCCTGCCGTGCCTCGACCATGTGGAGCAGCTCTATGACGTCTACGTGTTGACGAAGCAGAGACGACTCCCCTTTCCCCAGTGGGCAAGCTTTCGAGCCAAGGAGAGGCTCGAGCTTGTGCACGGGGACTTGTGTGGCCCGGTGACACCGGCCACACCGGGAGGACGACGCTACTTCCTGCTGCTCATCGACAACCTCTCCCGCTACATGTGGGTGATGGTCCTCGGCAGCAAGGGAGAGGCTGCGGAAGCCATCAGGCGCGCGTAGGCTGCCGTGGAGGCGGAGTGTGGCCACAAGCTGCACGTGCTGCGCACCGACAATGGTGGCAAATTCACGGTGGCTGAATTCACGTCGTACTGCGCTGATAAGGGCATTTAGCGCCACTACTCCGTGCCATATAGCCCATAGCAGAACAACGTCATCGAGCGGCGCAACCAGACGGTTGTGGGGATGGCTCGGGCCTTCTCAAGCAGAGGGGGATGTCGGTTGTCTTCTGGGGAGAGGCGGTGGTGACGACCATTTACATCCTCAACCTCTCGCCTACCAAGGCGCTCGACAGCAGGACACCGTACGAGGCTTGGCATGGGCACAAGCCGGCGGTCTCTCACTTGCGGGTCTTTGGCTACCTCGCGTTTGCCAACGAGCTTGGCCACATCAGCAAGCTCGACGACAGGAGCACTCCGGGAGTGTTCATCGGCTACGCGGAGGGCTCGAAGGCCTACCGCATCCTCGACCCGAAGACACAGCGTGTGCGCATGGAGCGCGACGTTGTGTTCAACGAAGGGCAACGATGGGCGTGGGACAAGGCGGTGGACGACGGCTCGGCTTCGACGTACGATGACTTCATTGTCGAGTACGTCCACTTCGAGGGAGCTGGTGGAGTAGGCAACTCTTCTTCGATGAGCGCGTCTACCCTAGTCCCCGAACCTCCACCGCCCCCGGCGCTGCTACTCCGACAGCACCACGCTCTCTAGCCAAGACCTCGGCTGCGATGAGTTCTTCGCCGGCCCCACCACAACCGGCAACGCCACACACTCTAGCACTGACAGGCACCACTCCGGGCACGTCTACTCCACCACCAGCTCGTGTCGAACACAACCCGGTTGAGCTCGCTACTCCGCTCTCTCACAACGAGGGGCGCATTGACGCGTACCACGATGGTGAGCCATTGCGGTACTGTACGCTGGAGAACCTTCTCGGCGACCAGCCGGTGCCTCATGACCTAGAGGCGCAGTTGCACCTTGCATGTGACGACAGCGAGCCTCGGTTGTTTGCAGAGGCCGAGAGACACGCGGCATGGCACGCCGCGATGCAGTTGGAGATGGATGCGGTTGAGAACAACCGCACCTGGGAGCTTGCTGACCTTCCTCATGGTCACCGCGCGATCATCCTTAAGTGGGTGTACAAGCTGAAGAGGGATGAAGCCGGTGCCATCGTCAAGCACAAGGCTCGCTTGGTGGCACGAGGTTTCGTGCAGCAGGAGGGGGTTAACTTCGACAATGCCTTCGCTCCCGTGGCACGGATGGAGTCTGTGCGACTCCTCCTTGCGCTAGCTGCCCAGGAGGGTTAGCGTGTTCATCACATGGACGTCAAGTCGGCGTTTCTTAACGGCAACTTGAAGGAGGAGGTCTACGTGCACCAGCCGCCGGGATTTGCGATCCCCGGCAAGGAGGGCAAGGTGCTCCGTCTGCACAAGGCCCTCTATGGCTTGCGGCAGGCACCGAGGGCGTGGAATGCCAAGTTGGATTCCACGTTAAAGAGGATAGGCTTCGAGCAAAGCCTGCATGAGGCGGCCATCTACCGATGGGGCAGTGAAGGAAATGCTCTGCTGGTGGGTGTCTACGTCGACGACTTGGTGATCACCGGCACCAAGGATGCGGAGGTGGCGGCATTCAAGGAAGAGATGAAGGCCACCTTCTAGATGAGTGACTTGGGGCCTCTCTCATTCTATCTGGGAATCGAGGTGCACCAAGATGACTCCGGGATCATGCTTCGACAGACCGCCTACGCCAAACACGTCGTTGAGCTAGCTGAACTCACCGACTGCAACCCAGCTCTCACTCCGATAGAGGAGAGGCTAAAGCTGAGCCGCGACATCACGATGGAGGAGGTGGACGCTATGCAGTACCGACGTCTTGTGGGGAGCCTTCACTACCTCGCCCACATATGGCCGGACTTGGCATTCTCCGTCGGCTACGTTAGTCGATTCATACAGCGACCGACGACGGAGCACCAGCAGGTTATGAAGAGGATCATCCGCTATGTTGCGGGGACTCTCAACCACGGCCTCTACTACCCTAGGTGCTCTTGGCGACACATTTCATCGGGTACAGCGACAGCGACAGCGACCACGTCGGCGACATCGATACCAGCAAGAGCACGAGCGGGATCCTCTTCTTCCTCGGCAAGTGCCTCGTTAGCTAGCAGTCGGTCAAGCAGCAGGTGGTGGCCCTGTCCAGCTGCGAGGCCGAGTACATAGCGACCTCCACCGCTTCGACTCAAGCGCTCTGGCTCGCTCGACTGCTTGGTGATCTCCTCGGCAGAGACACTAGAGCGATGGAGTTCAGGGTGGACAGCAAATCCGCTCTGGCCCTGGCAAAGAACCCCGTTTTTCATGAACGCAGCAAGCACATCCGGGTGAGGTACCACTTCATACAAGGTTGTTTGGAGGAAGGAAGCATCAAGGCGAGCTACATCAACACCAAGGACCAGCTTACGGACCTGCTCACCAAGCCCCTTGGGAGGATCAAGTTTCTTGAGCTCTGCTCCAGGACGGGGATGGTTCAACTTTCCCACAAGACGACGTACAAGACTTAGGGAGAGAATGATGGGATAAGTCTCATGTGCTGGTCTTTGTGGGGCTATGCTGGTCACATGGTCTTTGTGGCTGCATGGTCTGTTTTTAGGACAGCATAGAACAACATCTTAGGCCAGAGGATAGCATCTTAGAGGACAACATCTTAGCATCTAGGACAACATCTTAGAGGACAGCATTTTAGCATTTAGGACAACATCTTAGACTAGCATCTTAGACTAGCATTTTGGCATATACTTGGTTGGCTAGCAGCCTATAAATATGTACCCCCAACCCCTCAGGCTGGACATGACATTGAGAAATAAATCAGAAAATTATCCCAACTCCTAGTGTCATCCTCTCTCGATGAAAGTAAAAATTTCTCACTAGCCAGAGTGAGCATTCATCGACTAACACACCCCTGCATTGAGATCGAAAGCTCAAGGTCCTATCCGTGCGGTGAGAAGCTGAGAACAATCATGTTCTTGTGGTGGTGAGAGCGCAGATGATGCACCCAGAACCAACAATGAAGCGTGCAGGTGGCCCAACCAGTGCCGTGGACCGGCTCAGTGCCCTGCCGGAAGAGCTCCTCCATGTCATCCTGTCCTTCCTCCCGGCACCGCTGGTTGTGCAGACGAGCTTGCTGTCACGGCGGTGGAGGCGCCTCTGGCGGTCCACCCCTCTCATCAAAATCGACGAACAAGACTTTGGAATCTCTACAAAGATCAGGGCCAGCACCCTGGAGGGCAGGTGGGCAAAGTTTGAGGACTTCGCCACCAACCTGCTGCTGTTCCATGATAATACCTCAGCCTTGGGTGGATTCCGCTTGCGTTGTCAAGTCTATAATTGGCGTCATGTGGATCGATGGATTCGCCGTGGCATTGAGTATTGTCCTTCTGTGCTCCAGATTGAACTAGTAGGCCATGTTCCTGGGTTCAAGCTTCCTCCCATGTTGGAATCAAATTTCCGTTGTCTTAAAAGGCTGCGCCTTACGCATATTATTTTGAATAGCCATTTCACTGGCTCTCTCTGTTCTGCATGCCCTGTCTTGGAAGATATGAATCTCAGTTATTGTGAGTTTTGTGACATTTGTCCTCAAGGCATTATATCACCCAAGCTGAATAAGTTAGTAATGGAGTTTTGTTCGAATAATACACGTTATCCTTTGGTGATCACGGCTCCTAGCCTTACCTATCTCTGTCTCTCATTTGGAAACTTTCTAGCTGGTATTTTGTTATGCAAAATGGATTCCCTTGTCAAAGCAAAGATTTCTGTCCCAGAAGATGAAATATCTGAGGAGAACCAGCGCGAGCTTCTTGGTAGCTTGTGCAATGTGACAAGTTTAGAGTTGATTGGTTTTGAAGCAGAGGTATCTCTTCTTGATGAGCTTCCCTTTGTTCTCCTTTGCATTCCTTATCCCTGAAAGATGGCCATTTGAACAAGAATATTACACATATGTGATCACTGATGCTTGCTGCTCTTATATGAGATTTGCCATTTGCTTCTGGCGGAAAAAAATTATACAGTCTTTGTTTCATCTAGGGTTGCTTGCTTTTCATCTAGTGGATAGTTACTCACATGCGTGGCTCAAAAGAACAGATTATTATCTCGTCACTTTCTGCGTATGGCTGATGCATTTACTTAATCCTGGTTCGATTTCTATCTTCATTTCAGGTGATGCTGAATGAGAATCCTGATGAATTTCGAATATTTCATAATCTGCGAACCTTGGGCCTTCATAGCTGTTTTCTTAATGGATATGAACTGACTGACAAATTGGAGGCTTTAGGGAGCTTTCTTCAGAATGCACCTTGTTTGGAGAAGCTTAGTTTGCAGTACTGCATGGTAAGTTCTTATGTCTTAGGCATATTGTCATTTCTATGATCATTCACTTGGATATCTTACATGAGTCTTTCCACTTCTGCCAAAAGTTCTACTCATTTTCTGATTCAGAGTGGGAAATAGAAAGGAAAAACATCACCCTACCCCGACATGATGGAAAGATTCTCCGTTGTCAAAAGCTGAAGTTGATAGAAGTCATCTATGATCATGACCATGATCACCAACTAATTGAACTAGTGTGGAGTCTTGGAAGGAGCTTACCAGATGCCAATATCAAACTTAACAAAATTGATAGGTTTCCTCCGTAGTCCATTTCTCTTTGCAGTGTTCCATGAGGCCTTCAAGTCTGTGAAACCTCTACCTCGAGCATATTGAGTGGATGTGTATGTGAACACGTCTGGGCGTGCATAGGGCGTATGGTCTTCATTTCTGTGTTACTATTGTGATGATGCGTAAGTTGTTTCGTCAGGATGAATTTACGTTTGCTGTCATGGTTTGGGTCAATTTTATATCATTTGGGGAACATACGTAATTTGATCCCCTGTACTACATTATATATGTAATGTACGTTTTCGAAATTTTATTTGGTTGCGGTTGGACATGGTTACACCTGTGTGGTGCTTTTGTAGAATTTGAACCCCCGTAAAGTCATTTTTTGTGTATTTTTTTGGTTCATTGTATAATCTTAATAGGTCAGCTGCCACAACCTATAGGAACTCAAAATCACGAGGACGTAAAGACATCTGTTTGGTACAATAGCAATGGAGGTAAAATGGAATCAGGAAACACGAGAGTTCATTAGACAATAGGAATGCATTTGTAAAATACGAGCACTGAAAACACACAGATTACCTTGCATGAATTATTGTTTGGATGGAATGGAAAAAAACTGGAGGGAGATGGCAAGGAAGTCTCCCATGCCGTTAACTGTTATTATCCTATTTCGTTAAGTCCTTAGATAGAGGATTAATAAAATTTTAAAAAATAATTCTTACGGCCACGAGGGGGCACAGTTGCCAGAATAATAGGGGAAATTTCATTTTACCACTTTAAACTATCGTTGTAGTTTGATGTTTTGCTCAAATTCTAAAATCAGACATCTTATCCTTTGAATTCTTAAAATCGTTCAAATTACCTCTTTGTGCTGGTTTGAATTGGTTTCGAAGGGGTTATACCTCTTTTGTGCTGGTTTGAATTGGTTTCGAAGGGGTTATACCTCTTTTGGGGTTATATTACCTCTCTCTCGCATATTCTTTGGCAAATTAAGATATGAATATCCATAGTCCATTCTTATCATTTTTATAAAATACACCTTTGGAACTACCTAGAGGGCCAAATTTGCTTATAGTTGTCTTAAATCTCAATTCATTAAAATCCTCAAAAAAAAGTCTTAATTCGTCAATTGTTAATAAAACTCTCTCTTTGCTCTTCTTATCAATTTTTAGAAAAAAGGAATTTTGCCACTAATACCTTGTGTGGGCATACTAGTCATCATTGTCTCGAAACCAGTCCACACGTCCCCAATCGGGAACAGAAGATCCCGGCGACCTCACCAGCGCCAGGCAAGCATAACCGTCGTACCCCACCGAGCAGCCCCATTACCCACCCTTCCATTCCCCCACGTGAACCTAGAAGTGAATGTAAATGAACATGACGTGGAAGAAATCTTGCTTTTATTGATCTCGGAATATATTTATATAAGTTGAGGATGTGTCATGAAGGGACACAACTGTTCTCAAAAGACATGTCCTTTGAAACTAAAATTACCTATCTAATCCTATCCACTAATCTTATGCTTGATGGATGAGATCACTCGTGAAGAGACGCATGTTCGTCTGTAGACGTCCGTTCGCGTATATGGTTATTTCACAACACTCCCCCTTGATCGAATCTTCCTTGAAATCAATCCAGCTGTAAGCTGAAATTCCTCAAAAAACCCTATAGGAAAAATCTAAGGAATATATATGATATGCCATAAAAACTCCTTTAAATCTTATTGGGAAATAAGGAGAAAATAGCATATTTATTTATGATTTAAATAAACCACTATATCATTGGTATCCTATTAAAAATCTCAATAGAGAAAAATATTAGAGATACGACATAAAGATAACTCCCCCAAAAACCTTTCAGGAAAAATATGAGGAGCAATATAAAGTGATATGCCGCTAAAACTTCTGTAAAAACCCAGTGGAAAAATTAGGAGAAAATATGACGACATATTATTGGTATTGCCTCTTGGATAACTCACATGAAAAACCTTTTCAGGGAAAAACCATGGATGAGTTGTGAGGGCAATATGTGTCTTTGATATTTTCCCACAAAAACCCCGGTGGGGAAAATAGAAAATATGAACATGCTTATGTTAATATTACCTCATTAAAAACTTTAATAAGAAACCTTGTAAGTAAAACTTGTGAAAGAAAAGAGTATAATATGATGTTGGTATAGGTCAACATTTAGGAGATGTCTCCCCCTGATTCTAGCAAATCTCGAAGTCGTCGCATACCAATTTCATGTACCAATTTTTGAAACACAGAAGTTGGTAAGGACTTAGTAAATAGGTTAGCGAGATTATCACATAACTAGATTTGCAAGATGTTTATTTCCCCGCTTTCTTGTAATTCATGGGGATAAAATAGTTTAGGAACAATATGCTTAGTGGTATTGCCCTTTATGTAACATGTTTGCATCTGTGTAACACAAGTAGAATTATCTTCATAGATAATTGTAGGTGATTCAATTGAACTATAGAAAGCCATGCAGCCCGAGGCCCGTCGGTACGGCTCGTGGCCCGACCTTTTGGCCCTAAGACTGCACCGCACGCTTGACCGGTGGCTGGGGGAGCCCCCGTCTTAAGACGACTCGGCCCGATGGACAGCCGTGTCAGGCCGCCACCTGGCCGTGGCATGGCATGGCAGACGCGACTGCAGTGGTGCAGGCCGACGCGGTGATGTTGCCGGTGCCCCATTTGGCCCAAAGAAGACACGAAGGCCGCAAGCAGCGGCAAATATATAAAAGTAGTAGCAGGAGGCCAGGAGCCCTGCCCGGCTGCCCCCAATCCCTCATTCCCTCCCGGCCTCCCCAATCCCTAACCATAATCCTCATTCTCTCTCTCTCTCTCGCTCGCTCTCGCTCTGCTCTAGATCTCGATCCACCGCCGCCACCGCCATCGGCCCCGTCCTCGGCTCCGGTGACCTCGTCGGTGCTCCTCCACCTCGCTAACCCCGTCATTCGCCGCCGCGCAGCCATCTCTCTCTCTCGCTCGCTCCACCTCGCTCTCGCTCTGCTCTAGATCTCGATCCACCGCCGCCACCGCCATCGGCCCCGTCCTCGGCTCCGGTGACCTCACCGGCGCTCCTCCACTCCACCTCGCTAACCCCGTCCGGCTGTCCCCGTCTCCTCCCTCCTTTCCCTCTCCTCTCGCTAATATCTCTCTTATGTCTTATTGTCTGTGAAATGGAATCTGTGAACTGTGAAAGTGAAACACTTAGAAAATTTGATGAAAAAAGAGAGGTTTTTTGGCAGCCGGGCCATGGGCTGGCACGGCCCGGTGAAATTGGCCATGCTCACCAGGCGGCACGGCACGGAAAAATGGCCCGTGGGCAGTGCCTTGGGCCAGAGGCGCGGAACGAGCATGGCAGTGGCATGGCACGGCCGGCACGGTGGCCCGTGCAGGCACGACGCCACGCCGGCATGGCATGGCCCGATGGCCATATATAAATTGAACCAATACCACATGACTATTATATGTGGTTAATCATTCTGTGAAGCCATACACATTCTCGTGATGCCTCGTATAAAGCAATAATTTCAGAATGATTAGTAGAGGTCGTCGTCAGAGTCTGTTTAGAAGACTTCATGAAATAGTTGTACCTCCAAGTAAGAATACAAATCCAGTTTGGGATGGGGACCAGATAAGAAACCAGCATCCGTGTGTCGATGAAATATGGTGGGCAGTCTACCTAGGGGTATGCCCAAGGTAGTAGATTGTTGGCAGACATATGCGCAAGCCACAAACAAGATGGTGACGCAAGACAGACACGAGGTTTTATCCAGGTTTGGCCGCCAAGAAGGCGTAATACCTACGTCCTGCGTCTGATTGTATTGTTGTATGTCAATGAGAGATGTTTTTAGAGGGATCCCCTGCCCGCCTTATATAGTCCGGGGGACAGGATTACAGATCTGGAAACTAATCCTAGCCAGTTACAATTGCCATAGGTGGCCGGATAAGGATTCCTATTCTAACCGACCAGGATCTTGCTTGATCGCCAAATCTGTCTTGACTCCTTGCGCGGGACTCCAAACAGGTTGGTTTGGGCTGGCGTGTTGTCTTTTTAGCGGACGGGACCCTACGATCCGGCGGCCCAAGCCTAGGCGTAAGGGTATAGGGGTTAATACCCCCACAGCTAGTCCCCGAGCACCATGTATTATGCTGCGACACGCCATTTGATCTCCTTCGACTAATGCAATCCGTCTTCATGTCATTTTCAACTGATTGAAACATTGACCAATCAAATGCGCCAACATTCTGATCAGTACATAAAGTAGTAGACCACGATTATAGCGAAGATTCCGGTTGTCTGAAGAATGCATGGTGCTCTTAAAGAAAAAAGAAAAAGATTTCTTTCCTGATCAAGTGTGCCCACTTGTATTTCTGAAAAGAAATGTAAGTGACCCTTGTATAGTAGTTGTTATGGACAATAGTCAGAGCGTAAGGATCAATAAAATAAACACATTCACCATAAGGTGAAGTGTGCCCACTTAGTCCCTGAGCTTGGTAGTAGGTGACGCAGGCACGTGGTGCCAGGGTCTAAAATGAATTTCTACTAAAGTTAAGAATCCAGTCGTCGTATAATCAATACGGGATGCACCGGTAGGTGCATCGTACCGATGTATCCCCCGAGCTTGCTGGAAGGCAAAGTAGAAACCTTGCAGCAAGGTCTAAATAAATGTCTCTCAACTGTATGTGAGTGCAAATCACATGTAGCCAAGGAGAACAATCGCCGAGCATTCTTCGGAACCGTCCCCGAAAACACGGTAGTGGTGCTGACCATCCTCGAAAGCACAGTAGTGGTCTAGACCATCCTCGAGCACGATAGTGGTGCGGACCAGTCCCGAAGCATGATAGTGGTCGAGCGATCCCCGAAACACGATAGTGGTCGGGAGGAGTCCCCGAAACACGGTAGTGGTCAGAGGAGTCCCCGAGCACGGTAGTGGTCAGAGCAGTCCCCGAGCACGGTAGTGGTCTGGACCATCCCTGAGCACGAGTATTGTAGCGAAGAAACAAATGTCACTTGTACTATTA